AAAAAAAAAAAAAAAAAAAAAACTAAACAAAAACAAAAACAAAAAAACTCAGTAGCTTAAAAGAACAGTAATTTTTGCTCATGTGTCTTTAGGTTGGCTATCAAGGTTAGGCTTGGCCTGATGGGCCTTACTTTTTGTTTTGGCCAGTTGTATATGAGCAAAAGCAATAATCTTAGGTTTGATATAAGCCTTAAGTGATCTCATGTGTTTCCATTTGCCCTTTAGTGCTTCTGCCACCTTTGAGAGAAGAACACTGCTTGGCTAGCCTGATGGTCTCAAGAGAAAGGTTCTTCTACAAATGCCGCTGAACTACCTAGCTGAGACCATCCTAGATAAACAGATTTCTAACTAACCTGCATTTGTATGAGTTAGCTCAATTGAGATTAGCAGTCTCATAGCTGTGTGCAACTGACCAAAGCAATCAAAAGTTCAAGGTCAAGGAGTGAGAAAGTACACTCCACCTACAATGAAGCCATAGCAAGGATATGGATCAGGATTACTGAAATATTTGGGCCAATAACATAAGTCTATCCAAGCCCACCATTGGATCTTGGACTTTGGAACATGGACTTCTCACCCTCTTACCTGCTCTGCTCTAGCCATTTGACTTCTCCCTGTTCTGGAGCATATCTGGTTCCATTCCTGTCTTAGGTACTTTGCATTTATTTTCCCCTTTTCTTGGAATGCCTTTTCCCCAGAAATTTATATGGATGCTTACCCATTTTAGCTCATATCTTTATTTAGAAGTCACTTTGGCGAGGCCTACCTTGGCCACTAAATAAATAAGTGTATGATCCCTTACTCAAAACCTCCTATCTTCTTACCATTTCATTTTTTCCTCCGTTGGGACATGTAATTCATGTTACATTTTCTGTTTATCACATTAATTATCTTTTGGCCTCTTCAGAATGTGAGCTTCACAAGGGCAGAGTGCTTTGGAAGTTTTGCTTGTTATTACATTCCCATTGCCTAGTCTTGTAGCTGTATAGTAAAACTTGTTGAATAGGGAAATGAATGAATGAACTGGAAAAGAGGACTTCAATAGAGTCAGCAGAATTTGGTTTTAAGCTTAGCTGTATGACTAATTCGCTATTTGAGCTTTTATATTTTCCTTCTCTATGTCTTGATTTTTGCTTCTGCCAAATTAACATTAAGATTTCTTATAACTCTTAACATTCTGTGTGTGTATATTTAACACAGAACTGATAAATGAAGTGTGAAAATAGAATAGGTGCCACTTTTTTTATAAATGCCAGCCTTTTGCATTTGGGAAATTTAAAAAATATCTTAATGCTCAATTTAAAAAGATTTGGTTCCTAACTTGGCACACAAATGAACAGAATCTACAGTGTATGGTAGAGATGACTAAAGCTTTTCCTGAATGTTCCAGTGATTGAAATAACTCACAAATTCATAATTTCTTCTATCTTTAAATTGCTGTTTCATCTTCATAGTTTTGAAGGGCCATGATACCCTTTAAAAAGTGTCTACTCATTTATTCTTTTATCTAGTTAATTATTAAACTTATTCAGACCTAGGGTTTTGCCAAGCAAGTAGAAAAAGCCAGAGAAGGCATTATTGTTGAAAGGTGTGTAGAGGATTATATTTTGATGAATCATGAAACCCAAGCTGGTTAAGAAGGAAAGTAAGTGTTACTGGATGGTGCCTTATATTTCTAGGTTCTTGGTGTCCTGAACAAACAACTGGACGAGACACACACAGATAACAAAGCAAAGGAGCAAAAATATATTAGCAGTATATTACACTCTCAGAGCGGGAGAGCAGGCTGACCTCTGTGAGATGAGATCAACCTTAGTTTGGTACTTGGGGTCCTTTTATGTGTTTTTTTTTTTTTTTTT